TGCACCAGTGCGACCTAGAAAAAATTTTGGTCGCACTCTGGAGCCCTGAAATACTGATAAAAATCATTGATTATCGCTCATGTATGAATGTAAACAATCCCTCTAGACTAAAATTAAGGCCTGTTCACCTGTAGACGAGGACGGGGGGGTGAGCACTGCCACCAACGGCTGAGACCTGGGCGGGGAAGAAGTCAGGGAGACAGTCTGAGGGGTCGGTCCTGAACTCTGAAGAGGTTTCGAGGAGGAAGAAGAAGAACCTTGTTGCCTCCAGTTGGACCCCACCCGGCCAGTGAGGTAGGCCGCCAGCCGGTTGGCCGGATGAAGCGCCCCCATCTTCCCCAACTGGATCTTGGCCAGAGGATAGAGCTTCCCATTGACCTGTAGGACGGTTCACATATCAGATCAATAAAAGTCATCAATCGAAACAGTTACCTGAACAGCCACTGGGGGCTCTGTTAACAACGGTTTAATGAAGCTGTGAGTGAAGTCCTGAAATGTCAGAATCATTATCATGGTCGGGGTTAGCCCTGTTTCAGGAAATACTGACAGGAAGTTACCTGGACCGTATGGTCTGTTCCTCCCGGCTGTTTCCTATTGGCTGAGAGGAAGCCGGCGGGTGACACTCCTGTCAGGAATGGCAGGGCCATACTCGCCATCTTCTTCTTCTCCTCTGATCTCATTTTCAATTCCTCTCTGCCAGTATTTCTCCCATCATGCACCTGGTGAACAGTTGATCCCGCCTCCTCCTCAATGTCACCTTCCTCCACCTCTCGCTGCCAATCTTCAGGAGGCGCCGCCTCTTCCTCCTCCACCTCCCGCTGCCAATCCTCAACAGGCTCTTCCTCCTCCACCGCCTGCTGCCAATCTTCAACAGGCTCCGTCCCCCTGACCTCCTGTTTCATAAGCATGTAAACAGTGACATAAGGTGGATGTGGAGTTTATATAAGAGACAGATATCAGACTGGGAACAGTGGGACCTGTGGTGTGTAGAATGAAACCAGTGGTTGTACCTGTTGTTGTTGTTTTCTCTCTCTCTGTTTTGCTCGCTGTGTTGGTTTCATTTGGGCTGCTGGTTTTTCCCGCTCCAGTTTGGGTCTGGAGATGTGGATTTTATACTGGATGCAGCGGTTGGGGCCACTCTCCTCCACGGTCTGACCCATCGGACTGATGAGGTACTTCTTGATCCAGAACGGCTGGTCCAGGCGGTCCCAGGCCATCCTTTCACACAGCTCCTTCAGAACAAGGCTCTGGTCAGCCTCGCACGCCCACTGACACTCCGCCATGATGATCAGACGCTTCGACGGCTTTGGTGGCGGCTCTGCTGGAGGACTCGGGGGCCGGTTGGAGGAAGCCGACTGAACTGGTTCACTTACTAAAGAAAAACCCAAAACCTCAACCATCACCAATAACACAGTCCTCTCACATTTGCCCTGGTCCTGCTCAGGTGAGTTTCAAGTTGAATTATCAGTCTGTCACCTGTTTATATACCGTAATATATATAATAAACGGCTCATACATATTATATGTTTATATACTGTAATAAGTTTGGTTCTCTGTGAACTGACCAGTGCTAAATTAACCTGACTGAACCTTTCACAATAAGAGCTGCTCTGCAGGACCTGATGGAGCTGACATCAGGTAACCTACCTGTTGGAAGGCCGGAGGGTCTGCTCTTTGTCTCCTTCAGTTTCAGGTTTCTCTGTTTTAGAAGTTTCAGCTGAGCGTCTTTAGACTTCACATCTGTGGGCGGCTCCTGGAGGAAAAACATCACACTGATTTATAGATAAGCATTTTGTTACCGATCCCATCTTCAAGAACATTATTGACATCTGATTTGTCCTCTCTGACAGGGAACCAGCTCCGTAACAGTTCAAGCACCTAGTTTTCAACCGTTCTGACCTTTTCATCAGAGGATTGTTGCAACGCAGACCTTTTCTCTTGTAACATAGAAAGTCTCTTACCGCTGCACCGCTGCATATGTTAACTGTACTAGCTGCTATTAGCTAGTTAGCGGTCCTATTAGCTGTCTGTACCCGGACTGGGAGCTGGAAGGACAGAGGGAGTTTAAACTAGTGTGGGAATAAATGAACTAAAGGTTTCCTTGCTGGTTGCTCTGACACATTCACAATCATTACTGCTGTTTCTGTTAGCATTTAACAGATTAACAGCTCCTGCAGGCGTCAGACAACTCCTGTGAGTATCAGACAGCTCCAGGTTTCTACGGGAGCCAAACTATGCCACAGAGTCTCCTCTCTCCAAACCAGAGACCGCTGATTAAAACCATAAGACACACTGAATAAGGCAGTTCCACCTTAAAATACTCACTGCTTCTCCCACCGTGTTGGGACAGACAAAGGAGTCCAGGGAGGGGCTGCGGGCGAGTGCTGCTGAAGCGTATAGCTCAGCTGATTCTCTGGATACGTTAAGATCAGAACGCCGAATTGGACGTAAAGCGTCCTTCATCCGTTGCAATCTGACCGTTAAAGAGCAACAGATCTAACAGTGATTGTACACGGAATGTATGACAGCTTCTTGGCAGGACAACCACAAGCTGACACAGGCAGAACACGGGTGACTTATGACGCCTTGCAGGAGACTGGTGAACCAGCGTTACCTCATCAAACTCCCCCTGCATCAGACATCGAATATACTTTAATATCCAGGGTTTGGGAACGTACCCTTATAAATAACAATGACAGTTCACTTTATGGTTCCTCCTGGTTCTCTGGTTCCCCTCCTGAACCTCTGTTCCCTGTTCCTCCTGGAATCCTCTGGTTTCCTCACTGATTTCCTGGTTCCATCTGGTAAGCGACTTAAACTATAACACACCAACCTATAAATAGTTTTACGATCAATCAGCATGGAGAAGTGATTCTCTTTTGGTCTCTAACCTCGCACGTGTCCTTTCATTTTGCTTAATCCATTTCTGCGTTTGTCGGCTTAAGGTTATTGCCGTACTATGTTGTCCATGTCAGTAATCACGCTTTCTGACCTTTATAACATGCATCAAACCGTAACCTACTACCTTGAAATATACTACACCAAGTCTAATGTAAGATGGTGAACGCAGTGTCTTACCTGCATAAAAGGTACAGTCCTTGTTAGTTTTCCTCGGTCTCTAGTTACCCCTAGTTCCTGGGTTCCTCCAATGCTTCTTGCATTGGCTCCTGTAAATTAGGCAATAGAATAAC